TCAGTTCCAGCCTTGTTACCCCTGATCCTGCTTCCTCCCCGTGCACGGAGTCAGACTTCAGGGAGGATGCAACCTTTGCAAATGTGGCGGTTCAAGGTGCCACTCAGAGACAGGGATGTCACAACCTCTTGGGATCAGCCGAGGTGTATATACAACGTCTTGGAGACTGGATCATTTTCCTTCTGGTACGGCTATGGGCTACACTGGAGAGACACAGGCTGTTAATTCACAGAGAGAGAGGGAGATAAATTCACCCCGTGATTATGTATCTGTAAACTGTAAATTTGTTTAAGTAACCTTCAGCATATATAGTGAAAGCTAAAAATCTACAGCCATCTTCAAGTTAGTCCGGCTAACCCGACCCTGGAAGAAGGAAAGCTGTACAGGGAAGTGGATACCACCCTGATGCTGGTGCATACCCACCTGGCAAATGCCAGCTGGTAGCCACTTCTTACTTTATCTTGCATTTAACACTAGTGGAGAGCTGTGGGCTGGTGCCGGGTGCAGTTTAAATAATCAGAGGATACATGCCAAGCTAGCTCATTCTTGATGGTCCTGCTGATTAGCAGAGTTGTCGGAAGCTTTGGAGAGCTACAAGGAACCAAATTTGTCTGCCCTATTTATCTTGGTGAGCACAACACCGGCTTAGTTAAAAAGCGAAAGGCTTTGGTTTGGGTTCAGCAAGTCCTTGGGCTCCTGGTTTAAGCTTGTAATGTGACCACCACAAGGTCTGAACTGGAAAAGAGGACCTGAGTCCAGCAGAGCACTGAGGTTGCTCTCAGTCCAGATCACACGCTCCAGACCTTCACAGCTTTGATCCCGTTTGTGCTGCCCACAAGTCTGGTGCAGGGCAAGAGCAACGCTCCACACACTCCAGGCTGATGTGTTTTGCAGTGTTTCCATTTGTTGGAAGAACGGGAACAGAAATGATGGCATCGTGGAAATCAGAGAGTTTAGAGCAGGGCAAAAAGACTCAGGACGAGAGAGCAGGAAGACAGGAAAGGTGTCAGGTTTGGATAGAGGAGACCCACTCAACCATAGGTGTCACAGGGAGAGGCAAGTGGGGAAAGGTAAAGGGGCACAGGGATAAGGGGAAGTGGGATGTGGAAGAGGTGATGCACCTGCATGGTTTGGGAGCAAATGGTTCAATTCAACAGGACTCTAGGAGGGTAAGAGTGACGTTTGGGAGAGCAAAGATGTAAGGGGAATGGAGAGTTTATTTTATTTCATTTGGTTTCAACTGACACAGGAAGGTATTTGGATGAGCCTGATGAACTCAGTGAAACGCAGACTCTTGTTCTGAACTGTAATTTATACAGTGGACCCCACTCTGTGGCACGGCCTCTGTTCTGGGTTCGAGTATTCAGCTGGCGGATTGTTGATGCATGAGCTGAGAGGCCACGGTAAAACCACAAAGAGTCACAAATTTTGATATTCCTGTACGCTCATCATTTGCTGCCAGCAACAGACTTTCTGGATAAATGCTTCTTCTTGAGGAAGAGGCTGGAAATTCCCAATCAGTGTTATACAGCAACATGCAGCAGATGATATTTCTTAAGGGGTGAAAGCATAGGTCACCTACTGACACGTGTCGTAAGTCCGGGTTGGAGGGAGAAATTACTTGCCAAGCCTCCGACTCCCAAAACCGAGTACAGATAAGGTGAAGTTTATCTGAACATTGTTTGCCATTTTGCAAAACTCTGTAACTCCTTGTTGCTTTCTTAAGAATAAAAATTTTTATGGTTTAAAAAAATCCAGCAAAACCCAAGTCTTATCTTGTTTTCTTAGTTTCATCACATTAATGTTTGCTTTGCTTACAAATCAGATGTGGCAGTTCCTGTACCCTCATATTCATTACGCTCCTTTCCTCTGCTCCATTCTCCACTATAATTTTTCTGGTTGAAGACTACTATTTGTATTTATTACTTATATTTATTTTATACTTATTTAATTTTAACAATTATTTTTATTTTTGACCCCATCCTCTTTGCATAGCCACTTTCTCCTTCCTGGTTCAGTTATTTACTTGTATGAAAAACTGTCCTTTTTAAAAATCCATTTTCCAGACTGAAGTTACATTATATCTACAAACATTTGAAGAAGAGTTTTCTTTGTGGCTGTTCACCCACGTAGCTACAGCGGGATTTTTGCTTCTTTACTTGGGGTGCAAGTTCCACAGCGACTGTAGAGCTCTCTGAAATTCTGGGCATCTTTCACATGCAGTTTCCTTCCCACTACAGTCCACGTTACAGAGCCTTCTTAATTCCTTGGTTTTTTATTTCTTTTAAAACAAACCCTCCATGTACAGTATACTTATTTAGCTTCCCACTTAATTGACATGTAAGGAAATTATGATCACACGCTCCAGATTTATTTTTGATGACCACCTGCTCTATGACTTAATTGCTATTTACAACTAACAAATCTTTTGAAGGTTCAGTGATGGTTTTGTGAAGGAATTTGTCATCTGCCATATTGCAAATTATAGGCCTAAGACCCTTTATGAACATCAGAGATTATTCTCTGGTCCATAGCTCTGAAGTTAGTTCCCCCATGGCAGCATAGTTATCTCTTTTAACATTAGCTCTCTCCCTACATATCCAGTTATGAACTTGAGTGGTTCACAGCTGACTCTGAGCTGCACCAGAGAAAAGCCTCTTTTAACGTTCTGAGCGTCACCTAAGCAATCTATAACATCATTCATGTGATGCCAATGCACTATTTTTGTCTTCATTTTGTATCAGTCCTGAACAGCAGAATATTTTAATACAGGGATGACTGTTATTCTACCATATTTATGTCACTTGCACAATAGCTAGTTTACACCCCAAATTAGTTGCTCATATTTCTTTCCTACCAACACCTGGGAGGCAGTTACAAAGATAATGGAGCCAAAGTCTTCTCAACAATAGCAGGCGATACAACAAGGGGCAATGGCAACAAGCTGAAGCTTGGGAGGGTCAGGCTGAGTTTCAGGAAAAATTTTTTCATCAGAAAGGTAAAGGAAAGGTACCCAGAAAGGTGGCAGTATCTTCACCCTTGGAGGGTTTCCAGACTTGGTCAGACAAAATCATGGTGAGCTGCTTGAGCCAGAGGTTGGATCAGAGACCTCCAGAGGTCTCCTCCCATCACCACTTCTCTGACTCTCCAAAGTACACCAAAATCTGCCTCCCTGGCCTCACTCGCTTCCCTTAGCTGAACTAGATAGCCCTTTGGCTACTGGTATTGTCTGCTGCTGCTTCTCTCATCACAATTAGTATATTCTTCCCCCTTGTTGGCTAGGCCTCTCTGCCCATCGTTACCTCCTCATCTGTCATCAGGTACTTATTTAACTGGTCTTCATCTCCCTGCATATGAAACAGATACAGAGCCCTCCCCCAGCGGTTGCAGCATCACTGAATGGCTCTCTCAAACACCTGCACGATGAAGTTATATTTGCTAGCTAGCTTAGTAAGTTGCACAACTTTTTGCCAGAGCTGTTTGTTTTAGGCAGGCTGATCCAGCATGCAATGGATCGCAGCTCTGGAGCACGGAAGGGAGTCCCAGCTTTCGCAGACATCTGGAAGGGTTTGATTACAGAGAACAGCTTACTGCTCTGCAAAACAAAGGCTATCACAACTGCTGTGTTTGAGCCTCTCTGCAGGCAGTGCCCCGCAGCTCGTTTCACAGCCACAGCGCAGGCTGCAGACCTCCCCCAGCTCCTCTGCGTGAACAGCTAACGGGCAGATCTGCTGAAACGCAGTTTTGGCCCCACTGGAGCAGGGAGGGAAACAAATCAGTGGAAGGAGCCTTGCCTTAGCAGACCCTGCTGCTGCCTTTGCCTGGGGTGAAGGAGTTGTGCTCTGCTTCACTGGCTGATGAGAAGATGTGGGTGCCCTCTGAGAGCACAGATAATGCCGGATAATAACATGTAGGGCCCGGGGAGCAGAGATGAGCGCAGCTCAGATCGAAGGGGGCTGCCGGGACTCACAGGATGTGCGGGTAGTGCATGGTATTACCCCAGTGAGGCAGTGGGAGAGCGAGTCAGAGCAGCTAGCCGCATCTGAC